CTGTTGGGTGTGGCCTATTATGCTAATGAGTTCCTGATGGGCGTGGCCAACTTGGGAGCCAGCCGGAACTCCGTTCCTGTGCGTTCCTGCCCAAAAATAGCCCTGGGAATAACTAGCACTCTTTTTTTTTTGTTCGGTGAGATCATTATTCACTGTCCTAAGAATAACAGATTGTGTCAGTTGTAATATTGGGGGTGGGGGTTGGAAAGCTAGAGAAGTCTAATTCTTTTCTGTGTCTCTGTACAACAGTTATACACTTAAAGTGGATGAGGGGGAGTATGAAACCTCATGAGTAGGTTTGTCTTCTGTTTCCTCCTCCTCCCCTTATGTTTCCTATGGGAAAACAAGGTGTGCGTAAATTTTGTGACTAGTTGTAACCACTTCTTTAAAATCTTACCAAGACTGAAGTGTTTTTTAATTAATTCTAGATTAGTAGCTACTAGCTTTGTGGCTAATCCAGGTGTGCTTGATGGGAGAACTTTAGTTATGGACCTGGTACTATGTGGCGGGTGGCAACTGTCTTGATCCCTTGTGTACAGGGGAACTGTGGTTTGGAGAAAGAAAGCTCTTTATCTAGCCCTTTTTCTAGGGTGGTCAGTCTTCACTGCTCCCCCCAATGCTGAGTCAGCCATTCATAACAAAAATAGGAAGCGTAGTTTCCTGCATAAACATGGTTGGGACAGATGGGAAGGGGTTTGTGAGCTTAACTCACAGAAGTTAAACCTGAATTGACAGGGGTAGTCTTGGATGTGATATTTGGAGTGCCAGGATTAGTAGTACAAGGACATTTCAACTTTCACTGTGAGTCCTTGTTAACAACGGGCAACACAGAAATTTGTGGCTGCTATGAATCTATCCCATATACATACATTTCCCTCTCCATTAAGATACTCTCCAGAGATGCTACTTCAGGTACATCAGACTAATATCTGCCACTAACTACTTTGTTGACTTTCCTCTGCAGGAAGATTTAACAGGATCTCTCTCTTACTGTGGTCTTCACAAAATCTGTAAAGAGATTTTTCTTGATTATGTTCAGACCTATGATTAATTTTTCTTTAAAATGAGAAGGGCTGTTTCTACTGTGTGCATATATTTTATGAATTTCTTATGACTTTATTTTTTAATCTCCTTTGAGACTCTTGCAGTCAAAAAACAGCCAGTAAGTATAAATGCTCATAAGGGGCCTTGTTGTACAAAGACCCTCTTATTTCCATGTCAGAAATATCAAATGGGGCTGTAACCTTGTCCTGCTTATCTAGTTTGGTCCATGAACTGCCCAACTCCATTCAGAACATCACTGCTTATATTTTAAGGTCTTTGGTTTCAATGACTGGAAATGCGACATTTATATAGATCAACTGAGTTGGAACCAAAAGGCAATGAAGCCCCATTGCCTGGCCAAAGTCTGGCCTTTCAGCTAATTAGCCTGTGTGAGTACACATTCCTCAGAGAAGGTGCTAGCACAGTAGAAAATCTGTTTAGTAAGTGATACAGGATAACAGCAAGCAACTACAAAGTAATGGAAGGGGGACTAAGTCCTTAATTTTGAAGCTGATCATTAGCTATGTCTGAAGAGTGGTGAAAGTTATACATATTATTCTGAAGGGAAAGGGGCAGATTACCAATGTAGTGACTGGATTTGGATGCCGTGCAGTGCAGTCCGCAACAAGTTTACTCCCTACTAAGCCCATTGCAGCCAAGGGGTTTAGAAGAGGATATAACTTTGTTTATGATCACAGTAGCAGATGTTCAGAAAATCTGGAGGAGGGTGAAAAGTCCTAATCCCAATGCTGGTTTCAGGTTAGAAGTGATTCATAAACGTAGTGAGTTATTTTGCTCTCACAGCTGCCAAGACAAACATTCCAGAATTTCATGCCGTGTTTTTTTAAATAAGCCAAGCTTAAGGGTGAATGTTAGTGCTCAATTGTTGTACCCTAGTCTTTACCTTCTAACATCTATCAGTTTCCCCGTTTGATTTGTTTTGCCAGCATTTTAAGATTTTTGTCCAGTATTCTCATTGTTTGAGTGGGGGGAAATTACTTGCCAAATGGAACTAGGTGTTTTTACATTTTATTATTCTGGAATTACTTAATGCATTAGTTTGTTAGAAATGCAATGGCAAAGTGGCAATCAATAGCCCCCTTTGCATATGTGAAACTTATCAAAATGCCACAAATGGTGAATGTGTTTCACCCAGCTCTTTCAGTGACCTGTGCAGTTAAAGAAAAGTTGTCAGTATGATGTATTGCCATATGTACTTGAGGCTCCTGGTATTGTCATCATTGTGCTTTCCCATGGGCAAATGCTATTTGTATGTCATTTCATAGGTTGCTAAAACTAATGTCCTTACCTAGGAATGTTAATAGGGAAAGAGAGGTGTTGAAAACTGGATACAGGAATGTGTCCTCAGAATCTTCATGGTTGAACGTGGATTTAACCCAGAGTCTACTTGATCTGACCCCTACTAAGCACTACACTGTGATGTGCAGATGTGCCTTCTCAAAAGTATCTTCTTTTTTCCTATAATTTATTCCTTTAATTCCTAATTCAGTGGTAACTTTCCAATGGGCTATGGCTTTCATTGTTGCTTCTAAATTCCTCTTGTGTTCCTTTCCGCTGCTAGTACGTGACAGGTGATTGTCAGAATTGCTTGTCAATCATAGATGGTTTTGGGGTTTATTTCAGTGCTAGCTTTTAGTAGGCAAGACCATTTTTTACTAGTTTAGACACTTCATCTATATATGTTTTTGGTTTAAAGGATTTTTTTAAAGCCCCATTTTAATTTCAGTACAGTTAAAAAGTAAACCTATGTATCACAGCTAGGTTCCTTCAGAATAATTTGTACCAGTTTGCTTTCACTGTTTAGACACAACATAAAGCATCTAGGGTTTATGGTCAGAATGTGTTGCTGGATGTAGTACCGTAATTGGCCACAAGCATTTAAAAAGTTAACCTTCGAGCTCCTGTAAGCTCTCTTTGAACAGCTCTGTTTCACAGCCTGCCTCAACCATTCAGGGAGGCTGTTCTACAACAGCAAAGCAGCAACATAAAAGGCATAGGCCCAGGTTGTAATACATGGTACTTTTGAGACTGAGATTGCTACTAGGAGACACTGGTGGGAAGAGCACAAATGCTGCATGGGTTCATATCACAAGAAGGCTCTAGAATTAAGCACTAATACCTTAGAGTTGCCAACCTCCAGGTGGTTTCTTCATTATAAAGGACCCAATCCAAGTACTGTACAAAACATGAGTTATTCGAAAAATATCTTTCTCCAAAGTATTTTTCATTCAAAAATATTAAAAAGACACAGTCTCAACAAGTGGAACAACAAAGGCAACATAGGTTTAAAGACACTATGAATGTAGTCCAATATCTTGTGCCTAGGCACACAATTCCAAAATAAAGTCTTAACAGTTTAACTCCCACGTTGCCTGATAGAAGACCCAGCTGAATAATAAACATTCACACAGCCTATCATTAATGTTCTGTCCTGATGGGGCCCATCGACCTTCTTTCTCCCGTTTCTCAAAAGAGCTTCCTCTGAGAAGTGACTGTGACCAGTCTTTGGCAACACTTTTTCTTTCAATCTTGAGATCAGTAGCCTGAAGCCTACAATTTTCTTTCCAAGCTCTTTTGGAAATGGGAGGAAAAAAGGTCAACACGCCCCAAAGAGCATCTCTTCCCTAAAGCAAAGAACCAATCCCAGGTTTCCTCTGAAACTTTAGTGTAGGAGGTGCTTCAGAAGGAATCATCTTTGCCCCTGCATGAAGTGCCCATTCAGAGGCAGCTGCCTTCATCACAGAAGGACCTTTGGCTTGGGATCTCCCAACCTCTACCCTTTCTCTAAATTCCAGAAGTGTCCACATGCTCAGCAGTGTTGGGACCTCTAACCAAAAGTGTATGGAATCCTAAAAGGTACACGATGCTTTCAGTGCACAGGTAGGCATTATAACTTTTGACCTATTACAGAAGCCACTTTTTTTTACAAAAATGTGTAGCAGCTTGATTTTTTTTACAATGGGAGCTGCTGCAGCCAAAAACATTTCAAAAGAGCTGCATGCTCACCTCTCACCTCTCTGCATACACAAACCTTGCTTGGAGCATGCCAAGGGTGGAATGGGATAAAAATTTAAACAAGTTTGGGCTGCTCTTTTTTAAAGTATACAGCCTGTCAGTCACAATATCTGCCCAAAAAGCAGTGTACATTGTCATGAAGTTAAGGCATGCCAACTATTAACATCAATCAGCAGAATGGATTGGAGCCCATGATCCAGCAGCGGAAATCACTGACAG